GGTAGTTTTAACTTGAAAAAGGAAAAGGTAGTTTTAACTTGAAAAACCCTTTGATTGATCATCTCGACATCGAGATATATGACTATGAAAAAAAAAAATATTTGAAGCCTTAGAAATAGTGCATTTTACAACATATTATCTACACCGTCCATTTTCAAGATTTTCATATTTTATAGATCTACTTGATTTTAACTAATTTTGAAATTTAAAATTTTTTAATTAGATATAAAAATAAATTTTAAGATAATCCTAAGAACATTTTATATCAAAATTATATCCCATGATAAAATTTGAAGGTGCACCTTACCTCTACACCTACGGATGCATCCATATGCAAACTGCACCCCTTCCTTAAAAAGAAAAAAACAATTGTTTCATGCGGGCTGGATTGCATTTATACAATATGCGGTTCAGAGGTATAAAGCATCCATCTTAAAGATGGATGAAAATAGGTGGTCCATCTAAAAACAATTGTAACTAACATTCAAAATGTTTTCTTAATATAACTATTTTTCTAGTTTTCAAATTTTACTTATTTTTTTGTATTCATGATCTTCATATTAATATTCTCTAAAAATTAGGATCAAATTATATTTACAAATATATTTATTGCCAAGCCCGCATTTGTACATATGTGGGCTTGGCTGCATGCTAACCACGTTCAAAAGAAAAAAGAGAAATAAGTGGAAAAGTATACAAACATACTTCTTCTTCTTTTTGGTAATTCAGTGGGGAAGACAGACCCCTATCCGTTTTTTCAAGTAAATTAAGAATTAGCTTTTTTGAAGGTGTTAGTAGGGTGGTGTTAATGGTGGGAATCAAAACTACAAGCCAAAAAACGTATGTGACACACCTCAAGCCATCCAATTTGACATCTAGTGGCGAGAGTGATTGTGACATCTTTATAACAATATAAATGGTTTCATAGTATACAATTTCAAAAAACGTATGCTTAAAGCATGTAACATATTAATTTTTTCTTTATGGGATTGTCTACAAAGAGATTATTTATCTTGTGTATATGGATGTCACAATCATTCTCACTCCTTAGATGTCAAACTGAATGGCTTGGGTGAGTCATGAAGTCCGATAATTTTTTTTTTTAGAAATTTGTGTCATTCAATGACACTCTTACAACCACCCATTTTAAAATTTAAAAGACAATAATGAGTGTGATCTCCATGTACAAAAGATAAATGATCTTTTTATAGACAATTCATTTCTTTATATATTGATAAAAGTAGCTTAAGTTCAAAAAAAAAAAAAAACCCTAACTTTGTGACACACCCCTAGTCATCCCATTTGACATCTAATGGCTAGAGTGATTGTAACCTCTTTGTAATATAATAAATGGTCTCATAGTATATAATACCAAAAATAATAGGGTTTGTCTAGAGTTAACAACCCCTATAAATACAAAGGTTAAAGTTAGAAGGGGTTGTAATGAGTGTATTTATCAAAACAATCATTACTTTTTTTATTAAAGTAATGATTTAAATATGCAACTTTACCATTAAGCAAGAGCAAATTTGAAATTTTCACAAAAATACAATGGCATTTTGAAAGTTAGTGTCTTAGAACTTTACTTGTAGAGTGCTCTTGTCTTTTAGTTAAATTCTCAATTTTACCCCTTATGGAGATGATAAAAGTCATTTGTCTTGTAGTAATATTTACAAAACTGCCCCACAAAAGTAACTTTTTTTAAAAAAATTGACTACAAAATTAATAAATCCACCATTTACAACTCTCTCTATCTTAAACTTTTGTAATTTGAAGGATTGTGAAGTATAGAATATCCCAAAAAAATATACTTAAATATAGAACATGTTGATTTTTCTTTATGGGATACCATTTATCTTTTGTACATAGAGATCACAATTATTCCTACTCCTTAGATGTCAAATTGGATGGCTTGGGTGAATCATGAAGTTTGAGATTAATTTTTTTTGGAACTTTGTATCATTCATGATACTCTTACAACCACCCATTTTGAAATTTAATAGACAAGAATGATTGTGACCTCCATCTACAAACGATAAATGATATTTTTATAGACAATTCCATTTTTTATATATTGATAAAAGTAGCTTAAGTTTAGGAGTGACAATGACACTGTTCCCCAGCCTAGCTCTAAAAAACTACGGCATTCCGCATATTCGACCCAATCCTTTTTATGTTTATATTTTTTATTTATAGCCCCAGATTTGGCCCAATCCAGTGAATGGGCTTTGGGTGCAATTGACTTGGACCCAACCCAAGCTTGGGGCCAACTTATAACCGATCAAGTTGACCCGGACCCGAATCTACTCCTATGTGGGGGCAATATTTGTTTTTATTCTTTTTATTTATTGATTTTAAGCTAAATCATATTTCTTTTACAGGGATTCCTTGGGTGCTTGCGACTCTCGCCTTCCAAGAAAAGAGTTCTAAAGATACTAAAAAATGTGTCCGGCATTGTAAAGCCATCCAGGTTTGAAATTTCCATTTTATTCCTTATTTTCTTTTATCATAAGAAATTTTTATACAAGGTTGCAACTTTAAAATGTAGAATTAAAATACACCTCAAAAATCTATCATAAAAGGTTTTTTTGATGTTGGAATCTAATTGATCATCTCGACGTTGAGATGTATGTCTAACAAAAGAAAAAAAAGATTTTGAGTCCTAAAATAATGTATCTCGAAACACATTATCTTGACCATCCATTTTCAAGATTTTCAAGTGTTTATAGATATACTTGATTTGAATCATTTTTAGATTTTAAAACTTTATCGTCGGAAATGAAAATAGATTCTCAAGCCATCCTAAAAAATTTTGACACCAAAATTATATTTATAATAAAAATTTAGAGGTGCACCTGTTATTGTTTAAGGTTGCAACTTTATACAAACCACACCCTTTATGATATTCCATTTACTGTCCAAGATGGTGTTGTTCAAAAATATGATTTAATCTTAATGGGTATTTGGAGTTTCAATGTAGGAGAAAGATTTCCTGGACCTGCGCGTTAGATATTCATTAGGGAGGGTCAAACTCCTACTTAGAACTCTTCCATAGACTCCAATATTCCAAATCGTAATTAGTCCATTATATAATAAATATTTTTGTAAGAAAAAAGGTTAGAAAAAGTTTATGCGGTGTCAACCTTAAAACTCTTGAGTAAAAAATCTTCTAGAAGAGAGTATCCGATGTTGTAAAACCCTCCAGTTTGATCATCTCGACTTTCAGATGTATAGATAGGAAGAAAAAATTTCTAAGTCCTAAAAATAGTACATCTTGTGACAAATCATTTGGACCATCTATTTTCAAGATTTCAAGTATTTATGTATATGCTCGATCTATACCTTTTTTTGAAATTTTAAATTTAATAACTACAAATAAAAATAGATTTTCAAACCATCATAAGGTTTCTGATACCAGACCTATTCTACAATATAAGGAGGGCGCCTTATACAAATCTCACCCCAATGATAAATTGCCCCTCATCAAAACTGCATCCAATAATTCTAGACCATCCATCCATTAGATGGATGCCACATCCGGGGTGTTTTTAGCCCAAACAATTTTGTTTCTTTTTCTCTTGTTCTCTTGAAATTGATCTTAGGATCAACCGACATGATTTGAAAATATTATAGGTCATGCACAACCCCAAAGCATAATTTTTAGCAATAGGTCCAAATGTGCAATTGGGATCGTGGGTCCACCACACATGCACCCTGTCATTCAGATAAACAATATTAAAAAAGTGCAGCTCTTTTGTTTTCAAAATCTTTACTCTATTTACATAACATAATTTGGGATATCTTCAAACTAAATCATCGTTTTGTTTTCATAAAACCAAATTAGATCCATCTCGACTAAATCTTTATCTAGATCGGTGATTCCTAATCCGAATCTATTATTTTAACCGTAAAGTGGTTACTTTTTAATAAGATCATTCACTCACGCACTAACTTAGGTATTCTGTTAAAATATGCCCTTGTTAAATGAGCAAAGCGCAAGTGGGGCCAAGTAAATCAAAATTTCCTTGCTTATTCAGAATTTCAAACCCATGATAAAAAACACACGATTCGAGTTTAGAACATAGAATAAGCAACAATAATTATGTAAATTGGCCAGTGCCACTCATGCGGCATGAAAATTACCATACTTTAGCTTGTTAGGCTTCCAAATTGAGAAAAGGAGTATTTTGGGTACTTTTAACAAAATATCATAGGAGGTACTTTAGTGAAATGATCTTTATTCACTTTGTTCATAAATTGGCTCATTTGACTACATCATTGTACATATTTTCACATTAATTTTTTCAGCATTAGAATGGGCACTTCAAATTTCTCCTCAAATTCAAGTCACACATTTAAATGAAGTAAACATGTGAATTGTTTTGAAAAAGGATGACGCCCATAATTTACACTAATTTCCAAAAATTGCCTTAAAACAAGCTAAGATTAGTGTTCCAAACCATGAAACTCTGTTGGTTCAGGGTTTTTTTCGACCAGAATCATGAGCCTACCAGTTTTGATTTGGCTCGCTCCGAGTAGGATTAGCGATTTTTAAGAGGTGATTTTTGAAACATCGGCTAAGATAGTCAAGATTTAAAAAAAATTGGCCAAAATTACGCTGCCACTCTTAACTCTTAATGTTTTGTAGGATGACTCTGCTTCTTGGTCCTCCAAGCTCTGGGAAGACAACCATGTTGCTAGCTCTTGCAGGAAAGCTGGATAAGAAGCTAAGAGTGAGTATCACCTCCACTAACATGCAAACTTTTTTGATACTTTTGTAAGCTAATTTGCATTGAGGATGTTTTATGAACAATGCTACTTTAAAATTTCCTGGTCTTCTATGAAAATTCATCAGCATCATTGTCGAAATCTTTTTCCACACGAATTCTGGTTTGCCATTCTGCATAGATTCATGATTCAGGATAAGTTTTGACAAAGTTTTACATTGGCCCCTTACCTATACACTTATTCCCTTAGGCAAAAGACCTACTTTGAAGGATTTTTTCAATCTAAATCAAGTTTAGAAATACTTCCAAAGAATAGTTACAACACAAGAAAAAAAAAACTCCTTTTAGTTCTTGAACACCTAGAGCTGATTGTTAAAAAATTAGACTATGTTCAATTCTACGGCATGATTTTCTTTAGCATTTTTAGAGTGCACATTCAATATTTTTCTTTTTTAATTGGTTATTAAGGAGATTTGATATCCAAAATTCGGGTTCTTAAAGACACTCCTGAGTAGGGTTGAACCTGAGGGAGCAAATGTGCATTGTTCTCCGGTGAGAGCATAAGATCTGTTTGCTTAATTGATAAGGAATTTCCTTTTTTTACATTTTTTTTCTTTTGTCTGTGTGCATGTAAATGCTTCTTAACTACAACTCCTAGTGTTAGTGTATGTGTATGCTCTTTTATGTTTTATTTTCCTAATTTTGGATCCCCTATTTTACTATGGATTTCTGATATACATTAGGTATCGGCCAAGATCACATATAATGGCCATGATTTGCATGAATTTGTACCACAAAGGACTTGTGCATACATAAGCCAACATGACCTTCACAATGGAGAACTGACAGTGAGAGAAACACTTGATTTTTCCGGCCGTTGTCTAGGGGTCGGAACCCGGTACCAAATGTTGTCAGAGTTGTCAAGAAGAGAGAGAGAGGCCGGAATCAAGCCTGATCCCGAGATTGATGCCTTCATGAAAGCCACTGCAATGGAAGGCCAAGAAACGAGCTTAGTGACTGATTATGTCCTTAAGGTGTGGAAACTGTTCTAGTACGCTTACTCTCATGTCTCTCTAAGATGGCCTTTCTATGAGGGAGAGAGAGAGAGAGTTCTATGTCTTTAAGGTGTGGGAAATATGTTAGTAAGTTTACTATCATGGCTGTAAGACAGACCTAGAATGGGTCAAGATCCTGATTCGGATTTGATAAATATACATGGGATCTAGATCTAGATATGGATCCAATCAGATCTAGATCTGGATCCAAAAAGTATATATGGGACCTAGATCTGGATCCGGACCCGATAGGATCCAAAATATTCAGATCTCGATTTGGATCCCAAAAGTACACATGGGATTCGGATAAAGACTAGATCGGATCCAAAACATTATTTTATATATTATTGTATATAATATATATGTATATATAAAAAAAACAATATATAATATGTTAATAACTAGGTCGGATCCGAATTGGATCCACCTGTACCCAGATCAGATCCAAATTTGGATCCAAATCTGAACTGGGTAAATTCTCGGCCCTAACTGTAAGATGGCCTTTCAGAGAGAGAGAGAGAGAGAGGTCTTTGAGGTGTGGAAACCATGCCAATAAGCTTACTATCATGGCTTTTATATGAGAGAAAGAGAGAGAGAGAGAGTTTCTATGGATTTTACTAATTATCTCTTTCTGGTGAAATAGATATTGGGATTGGATATTTGTGCGGATATATTGGTGGGCAATCAAATGATGAGAGGGATCTCCGGAGGACAAAAGAAACGAGTGACTACTGGTAATTAAATAAATACTCTTCCTCTCACCCCTTGTATTATTCTAGCTTCTTTTGTTAAGGAAATTGTCCAAAATAAGTCTCCTTCATTGGTATTCGGATGAGCCTAATTAATCTTAACCATCCATTTCTTTTTTGCATGAATAATCTCAATCATTCAAATTGCCCGAATTTTTAATTTTAAAATTATAAGGCCCTTGCGATATGGTGAGAAAAAAATTTATTCAATATAGTGACAATGATTAGATTTTTAATTTGTTGTTCTCTAAATGAAGGCATCATCAAGTCACACTAACTCTGTCTAGCCTCATATGTGACTGTCTCTTCAACACATATAATTTATTTGCTTTGAAGAACTACAATTGTCTGATCTTGATTAGATAGCTGAAAATCAGAAGATAATATCATCATAGGATGACACCAACAATGTTTACTAGGCAATTTACTTCCAATCATTAATCGATTAATTCTAAATTATCCAATCAAGATCAAATAGCAGGATGTCTCCAAATGAGATCCCTAGTGCTTGACAGATTGAGGAAACATAATAAGGTCCTAAGGAGAACCCAACCATACAACATAGTGTACATGAACCTTAGACTAATTTTTTGTAGCAGAAATGCCTGCTGAATTTTTCAAGACTAAATCTTGTGTTCCTATGATGCATCATAGGGGAGATGTTGGTCGGACCGGCGAAGGCCTTGTTCATGGACGAAATCTCAACTGGGCTCGACAGCTCTACCACTTTCCAGATAGTGAAGTTCATGAGACAGATGGTACATGTTATGGATGGGACCATGATCATCTCTCTCTTGCAACCGGCGCCCGAGACTTTCGACCTTTTTGATGACGTGATCCTCCTCTCTGAAGGCCAGATAGTTTACCAGGGTCCACGCAAACACATACTCGAATTCTTCGAATCCATGGGATTCAGGTTGGTATTAGGTGCCACTAGAGTCCTAGAAGGCAAGGGGATGGAAGGTTTTTAATTTTCCTCAAAGTTAAGAGTGTTTTTATTTTTCAATTTCTTTCTTTTTCATGACCTAACTACCACTTTGCCCGCAATCCTACTCACAGGTGCCCCGAGCGTAAGGGTGTTGCCGATTTTCTTCAAGAAGTCACCTCTAAGAAGGACCAAGAGCAATATTGGGCCAACAAAGAACAGCCGTATCAGTATGTATCAGTCTTCGAGTTTTCAGAGGCATTTTGGTCATTTGACGTTGGGCGTCGTCTGGCAGACGAGCTCAGTGTGCCCTATGACAAAAGCCGTGGTCACCCAGCTGCGCTAACGACCGAGCGCTATGGCATCCCCAACTTGGAGCTCTTCAAGGCTTGTTTTGCTAGAGAATGGCTCTTAATGAAGAGGAACTCCTTTGTGTACATATTCAAGACCACCCAAATATCAATCATGTCATTTATAACGATGACTGTGTTCTTGAGAACAGAGATGAACCACAACACCATTGCAGATGGCAACAAGTATTTTGGCGCTCTCTTCTTTGGGCTGGTGAATGTTATGTTCAATGGAATGGCTGAGCTCTCAATGACTGTGCATAGGCTACCAGTCTTCTATAAACAGAGGGACTTCATGTTTTATCCAGCTTGGGCTTATGGCCTTCCTATCTGGGTTTTGAGGATCCCACTCTCAATCATGGAGTCAGGCATATGGGTGGTTCTCACCTACTATGTCATTGGCTATGCTCCTGCACCTAGTAGGTACGAATAAGGATTTTTCATCATCAACTATATTGTTATCTTCGGGAAAGGGGCTGGAGTCGCACGCCGCACCCTAATCATCAAGTTGTGGTTTTCATTCTCACTGACACTACCCCACTAACGCTTTTAAAAAACCAACTTTTAAACTATTTGAGAAAATAGGTAGGGGTCTCCCTTCCCCACTGAATT